GGTGTGGGACATTCTCTACCATTATTTCTTCAAGTAAAGTTTCTGCCTCTTTCCCTCCTCTTTTTCTTTCTGGGACTCCAGTGAAGTGTAGATTATCTCTTTTGATGGTGCCCAGTATGTCCCATGGGCTTTCCTCATTCCTTTTTTCTCTTTGCTTTTCTGAAGAAATAATTTCAAATGATTTATTGTTGAGCCCATTGATTCTGTCTTATGTTGTTTTAGTCTGCTGTTGAAGCTCTCTATTGAACTCTCTAGTTCACTTTTGTATTCTTCATCTCCAAAATTCCTGGGGTCCCTTATGTTTTGTAGAATCTCTTTGTTGAACTTCTCAGTTTGTTCTTGTATTGTCTGTCAGATTTCATTAAATTGTTTACGTGTTCTCATAGCTCTCTGAGCATCTTTTGAAAAGTTATTTTTATTTTTTGCCAAGCAACACATGTATCTCCACTTCTTTGTTGTTCAGTGTAAAAATTTATTGTGTCCCTTCAGGGTGTCATGTTTCCCCAGTTCTCTGTGATTCCTGCAGGCTTGCACAGGTGCCTGTGCATTTGAAGAAGTATTCACCTCTTCCAGAATTTATGGACTGACTTTGATAAGGAAATACCTTCATCTGCTGGTGGGGTAGGGGTGGTGCTGGGATGTGTTGTGATCCCATATCTAGTAGAGAGGGTGCCAAGTGCACAAGGATGTGGCAGCTCCGTGTCTGGGCGTGTTGTGATGTCTTGTTGGCTCTGGCCGCTGAGGTGCCCTGGGCCAATCACTGCAGGGGCATTGGTAAGCATTGCCCAGTAGTCTGTAATGACTGCCAGGACTACTGGAGTCCTTAGTGGTACTTTCCATTTTTGCAGGCAAAAGTGTTGACCAGAGCCAGTAGTGTGCACACACCTAGCTGCAGGTGCCTCTGTAGTGGGCTCTTTACAGGGGCTGGTACGGATACATACGTAACGCTAGGGGCCTGGGCCAGCACAAGGGCCAGGGACCACTGTGGGAACGCCTGCACCTGCAGAGGCCCTGGCTGTTGGCATGCACTCCTGTGGCTACAGGGTGTCCCCACAGGGGCATGCATGGCAGTTTAGGCCAGGGAAGGGAGTCATCCAGGTGCATGCATGGCTGGAGGGACTAGCTGCAGGTGAGCCTAGGAGTGCAGGCCCTCAACCTAGGCCTAAGCCTAACCCTGGCCTGAACTCATGACACCAGCTGACAAAAGAGACTGTGATATTTAGTGGCTGTTTAACCTTAGGCACATTTAGTATCTATGAGTCTCAATATGCTCACTATAAATAGAGATAATGAAACATGTTTTGCAGAATTTGCAGGAAAATTAGTGACAGTGTTTATAACTAAATTCAGCCCATTGTTAGAGACCCAGATGATTCCCTTTCTGGCTATACCACACCCAAAGCTGAGCCAAGGGCTGGGTGTGAGCCAGGCAGAGGGGCACGAGGTGAGTCCTGCTCAGAGACCTGTCTGGCGAAAACTCAGCCAAAGATTATCTTTATCTAAGAATAAGGGCAGAGCAGAATATCTACCTCTCAGAAGGAAAGCACAGCTAAGGGGAAAGAGGATTAAAGTATGTAAAGCCTGCTCCATCTTGATTCTAACTGGTTTAATGTGTCCTTTTCCCAAACAACATGAATTTCCAGCACGTATGTCAGTTTTGGATGGAGGCAGAGGGAATGGTTTCCCTGCCCGTAAGCGGGGAGGGTGACGGAAGGACAAGAGCTGGGGAAAGGCACTAGACCTACCCTGCATGTAAATGGATTCCTTGCTGAGAGCTCAGTTTTCAGGTGGACATTGGTGTCAGCAGATTGATGGAGGTCAGAACTAGAGTCAGGAAGAAAGAAAATAACAAGAGCCAAGGAGCCACAACTACTCACTTCATTTCTAAAATCCTGCCTGGGTGAGGGCAAAATAAGAATTGAATTTTTTAGAAGACATTTATTAACATACCTTAAATCCTGGTGCAAAGGGAATGCTGAGTGTTAACGTCACTTGGAAACGAAACTTGAGTATTAGACTAGGACAAAAATTGGTAGATCAAAGGTTATTATTATTATTATTATTATTGTTATTATTATTACACCCATCTGGGCTGCACAATATCCTTTCACTCTTAGAAAGTGTTGGATAATAAGCTTTCTTCGTGGCGATTGAAATTCACCTCCAACCAGAATGAGTGATCCCAGAAGTTAGGACTTGGCTTGTGTACTAAACCACCACGAAGCATTAATGCACAATTAAAATGTTATTTATTTGTCTAATTACCAAAACTATTTACATACTGGGATACATGTATTAAGCGCCTGGATATTTTTTCCTACAGGACCTCGTAGTTCAGTGGTGCAGACAAACAAGCGAAAGAGAAGGTCTGCCCGCTGGGCGCTGGGTTGGAGGAGGGGGAGGAGAGGACCCCAGGACAGTCAGTGTGGTCGGACCTGAGCTCTCGGTGCCCTGTGGCCGAGGTCACCCTGGCTTCCCCTGGGCCACGGCTGCTGCGACCTCCTGAAGGCCAGGGTGCTGCTAATACCTGCCTGCTGGTGTCTGTGTGGCCTTTCCTCCTGCCCAGGACAACTCCCTTCCTGGCCTCGGCAGCATCAACCAGAGTGGCCGCGCTGGCAGGTTGCTCTCCCGTCCCCTTCTTCAGGATTGGCACCAACAGGGCGATAATGCTAACGCTCTGCTGCCACAAATACAGCTGCTCCCGGTTCCTCAGAAAGGTTGTTTGGCTCCCTGTCCTGGTCATGGCAGAAAGCACAGAAAGCGAATAAGGAACAAACCCAAAGCCAAAACAGTTTTCTGCTTCTTGCCTCCAAGAGTTGAAAAAGCTAGGGACTACTAATAACTGCCACTCACCGAGTCCTCCGGGTGAGGCTGGGCATTGGACAGGAGAAAACGGACATTCTACAGTGTCCTTCCTAAACTGCAGACCCACAGGATCTGTGAGCACAACAAAAGAGTTGTTTTAAACTACTAAGGTTCACGGCAATTTGTTAAGCAGATGCAGTAACTGGATAAATTGTCATTCACCCACAGAGACCGCTCATTTAGATTTTATTGGAGAAAAGTTAGCATTGCACAGTGAGGCACAACACTTCAATCTGGCATCTAAATTGTATATCCCTGAGTCTTTCAACATATTTTGGCCTTTTTTCTATAAATGGTAGATGCATTTAGAGAAAAACAATTGCACTGGGCTTCAAAATACTCATCATACACTAAGATTTCCTTAGCTCATTTGTACAAAGCTGCACCTTCCTCCTTGAATCATATTTATTTATTTATTTTTATTAATTGTGGTAAAAAAACATAAATAAAATTTACCATCTTAACCATTTTAAGTGTACAGTTTAGTAGTTATAAGTATATTTACATTGTTTACTTTTATTTAAGGTAACTTTTTATTTTAAATTGTATTTTATTGGTTATGCTATTGCAGTTGTTCCAATTTCTCCCTCTCTGCCCTACTTCATCCAGCCCCCCACCCCCGCCGGCAGTCCCCACGCCCTTGTCCATGTCCATGGGTCCTGCATTCATGTCCCGTGGGTAATCCTATCCCCTTCTGTCAACCAGCTCCTCTCCTCCCTCCCCTTACAGATGTCTATTCCAAGTTTCTATGCCTCTGGTTCTGTCTTTCCTTGAGCCACCTTTCAATCTGGTTCCCATCTCTTGACAGCATCTCTTCCATTGACATGATCTTTGTCAGACTGTGAGAATACCGTCTGCCCAAGAGTACCAGAGGGGGCCAGACATTCCTGCGAGACAGCAGCAGAGCCGAACAAAGCCAATCACGTAAGGGAAGGAAGATAGCAAGCTGTCAAATACTCACTCAAATGTACCCTTCATCCTTCCTTCCCACGCAGGCCAGGTCTCCGTCCACATCTCCCAAGGATTTCCACCCTGAGCTGTACCTCCTACCTGTTCCATCACTGCATGAAGTACTCATCATCCAAAGTAACTCATTCTTTTAAGTAATGTTTCTCCATTCTAGCCACTGTTCTTCTCTTACATGTATTGCTAACTGAAAGAGAGAAAGAGAGAGAGAAAGGGAGAAAAAGAGAAAGAGAGAGAGAAAGGAAAGGAAGGAAGGAAGGAAAAGAAAAGAAAGGGAAGGGAAGGGACGGGAAGGGAAGGGAAGGGACGGGAAGGGAAGGAAGGAAGAGGGAGGGAGGGAGGGAGGAAGGAAGGAAGGAAGAGGGAGGGAGGGAGGGAGGGAGGAAGACATTTATTTAAGCAAAAAGGATTCCAATAGAAGAGATGCAAATTCAGGAAGCAACCCAAACTGTACCCCAGGGAGAATAGAGAAAGACAGGGTTTATAAAGGCAAAACCCAAAAAGTGTAATTCTTTCAAGTAAATGAAGGATTGATTGCTGACGAGGTTATCAGGGACTGATTAGCACCAATATGCAAAGGGGGGAGACACAAACTACGAGAAGGAACTCAAGTCCGCACGTGTCCATAGAGCAGCTGTTCCAGGATGTCTATGGCTCAGCCTTGACCTGAGTTCAGCAACATGATAGCAGCTTAACAGCAGCTCTGAGAACTGCTAAGTGAAATAAACCAGTCAGAGAAAGACAAATACCATATGATTTCACTCATATGTAGAATCTAATGAACAACCTGAACCAAGGAGCAAAATAGAGAGACTCACGGACAGAGAGCAGGATGACAGCTATGGGGTAGGGGTGGGGGAAGGTGAGGGGTGGAGGGATTGAGAAATAAAGAAAGAGGACTCACAGACATGGACAACAGTGTGGTGAGTGCGGGGTGGGGCAGGGGGGCTAGAGGGCTGAATGGCAATGGAAAAATACACAAAAGAAAAGATGTGCACAGGCCACAAAGGCCCCACTTCCTTAACAGCCTCCTGCCTCTATTTTAAGGGCCTCTTTAGCAATGCTGATACCATTTTATTTTATTTTTGCATTATCATTATGATCCTCACAAGTTGAAGAGGGAGAGTAATGTAAGAACAAGTCTGCAGTTGAAATTACAGCCCTGTTTCTGGCATTCACCGACAGAAAATGTGAGCTATAGATAAGCAAAGATTCCAATTCTGAAGCACAAAGCCGCAGTAGATCTGGACCGTCTGATATCAAAGTCATATTTAACCAAGGGAGAATCAGGCAGATTTAGGACCACATTTCAGCTAGGGAAATGAAGCAAGATGGAAGAACTTTCATCAAATGCTGACTCAGTATCAAAAACATTATGGACATTATTCGTTCATCCATATAACAAATATTTATTGAGAATTTACTCCTGGTCTGGCATCTAATTCTATAAGTATTATCCCCGTTTTACCTCTGCGAAATCAGAGCCACAGATGGATCCAGGAATTCGCCCCATGTCCACAGGATTTGAACTCAGACCTGCACACTTTGAAGCTCGTTCTCCTTCTCTTAGGACAAGTATGAGAGGAAGTAAAAGAAAAGAACTTGGAGATAAGAAAGAGGATGTGAGGAAGACCTAGCCCCATAATATCCTAACTCTGCTGAACAAATACTTTGTGACTGACATTGTATTAGCCAAATATGTTTTAACATGCATTTTAGGCATGAAAATTTTTATAAATAATAAGTATTTTAAAATTCACAAGAATTATTACTTTTAGACAAAATGACTTATTTCTGGAATTTCAAAAACTCTAAATACCAGCATTTCTATATTAAGGAAATGCTACATAAAAAACTGTGGTTGCAAAATGAACCGCGCAACAAATGATTAGCTGTGTAATTCTCTTGGTACTTAATCACATGTTCCTATCTGCTGGGTTAAGCCTTGTCTTGAGAACTATTAGGAAGCAATGTCATGTCTCATTCTTCCTTGTTGAATTCTAGTCCTTAATTGTACATGTGCGCTTTTTGTAAAAATGGGATAATGGACATTAGACGCATGCTGGCTGAATTTAATAAAAACTGTTTCCTCAGTTTTCCATTTACTGATCCACAGGTAAACATTTTTTTTTATGAATTCAACATTAAGCCAGTATGGAAATTTTTCTAGCAAAAATCACTATTTTCTTCAAAAAGAAAAAACCCCATAGGCAATCTTTAAAATACCTTTACTATTATTAATTTTGAAAAGACATGTGGTTCTGCTTTTTTTAATAGTATCTAACTAAAAATCAGAGAATACCTCTTAAATATACAGAGGATTTTAGACTTCATACATTGATCATCAATAAATTTGTCTCTAAACTTGACCTGCAAGTCATGGAAGAGAGTTGTTCTCAGAAAAAAAGAAAAAAAAGTTATCTAAATACAAATACTGACTTTTTTAAGGTTGAAATGATTTCATGCCTAGAATTTTCTTTAATACTTATGGGGTCATTGAGGAAATATAAGATATAGGCTGCCAGTTGATAGTTGGTAAAATGAGTGATAAATAGAGGTTTATTATTTTACTCTCTACTTATATATATATTTGGTTTTTTATAATAGAAAGTTTCAGTATATAATACTAACTATAATAATACAATATTACTGAAGACCATGTCTAGTGCTTACTCTAAATGGTAAAAAATTTTTCACCGTGTTTGGGCATAAGCTTTCCCTCCAAGGAAATATTAAATATATTTTTCAGCTCCTCTCCTATTTCTTCTTCATTCAGTGTCTTAAACTCCACCAAATCCATATTGTCCTTATAATTGAATTTTCTAAACGTGAGGGTGAAGCCCACTAAACAGTAAACCCCATCTGGGGTCTGCAAGGAACAAAACGACTTGCTTGTAAACAGAGATTCTGGAGACGTTTGAAGGTGTTCATTAACAGACTCAAAATCTTCAATCGTTTGAGGTTCAAGAGTAAAGGAATAGATCTTTCGGTACTTCCTCTTCTCCAGGAGATCCGAATTAAGAAACTCTTGGTTTGGGATGTGCTGCTCTCTTCTGATTTGGTCCAGGTGCCAGACTCCTCTCTCTTCAGTCAAGCGGAAGATGCAAGGCACCTGAGGCTGATCCTTCCCAGAAATTAATTCCAGAGGCTGCCACATCTGGTAAGAGCGTCCAAACCCAGCATCAACTATGTAGTTCCTGCCACCCATGGTCACCTTCAGCAGAAGGTGAATCATAGCACCGCTGTACTTGTTGGCTACAGAGTTGTACACATAGCCTCCCAACATTGTGGTCTCGAAACCCATGGTGGTCAGAGCCCAGTACAGAAGGTGATTGACCTGGAGGCACCACCCACCCCGGTTCCTCCTCACAACTTGATCAAAAACGGCCTCCAGGCCCAGTTCCATGGGCTTCCCGCAATGGATGTTAAGGTTCTCAAAGGGAACGGTCCAGATCTGGTGCTGAAGGACGTCAGTTAACGTTTCCAGGTCCAACTTGTTCCTAAAGTTCTTATATCCAATTCTTTCAAAATATGCTTCAATGTCCATGATCCCCTAAGGCAAGGAACATAAAGCAAGAGCACGTCGTGTTACTTTTGCACTTGGATTTCTATATAATTCATTATTTATAATTTTAAATATGTAAATACAAACAGTGGTTATGGATATCTGCAATCATAAGCCTTTTGTTTACTACTGTCACTGTATTAATTGCTCTCACATGCTTAAGTTCACTTGATAGCCTCAGTGTCCCCGTAAGACAAGTAATATCACTGGTTCCTGGCTTTAAACATGAGAAGTTGTAAATCCAGATTAAGTGATGAGTGCAATGATAAACAGCTTGTATGTAGTTTTGTTGATAATAAATTAAAAGAGGTTCAAATTGGCACCAATTAAAATAGGGTTTACAAATAGTTCCAGCACAAACAGATTATAGAGTACATTGTATTCTGGGTACCTGACACACTCAATTTCACCTTTAGCTGAAATTGCTCAAAGTTCCACACTCAAAATTTATATTCATCCCCACACTGATTTATTGATTCATTCAATAAAGAGCTTCTGAAAATCTATTATGTATTTACTAATGATCTAATACTTGCTTGCCCTCAGAAACCTTACATTTTAGTGTGGGCTGGGATGGCACAAATTGCCAATTGAATAGAGAAATAAACCTGCTATTTCTTAGATTGAGGTAAGTGCCCTGGAGAAGACGACAGCAAAGAAAGAAGATGTGCACACAGTGAAATTTAATTTCAAATAAAGCGGTCCAAAGAGCCCTCACTAGCACCTGAAGGGTCAGGGGAAATGCACCATGCCCGCGCATGAGGGAAAGACCGTTCAGGCAGAAACTATGTGAAGTTCAAAAAGCCTTAAGGAGGAAACCAGTGATCAGAGCAGAGTGAGGGAGACGGAGTGTGGGCTGAGATGAAATCAGGTAATGGTGGTCTTCAAACATATTCTGTTGGCTTTTACTCTGGGATAAGAAATCATTATGAAAAGGTTGCAGTTTGGGCAAAGTGTACAATGACCAAATTGGTATTTCTGGCTATTGTATGGAGAATGAGCCATACTCCTCATTCTTTCTAAGTTGAACAAATAGACCCTGATCCAGGTTGGACTGATTCACAGCATACATGCCCCAAGACCATTGCGTTGCTGGTGGATGACACATGACCCAACTCAGGTCAATGAGACCTTATGAGGGACTTTTGCTGAAACCTAAGCAGACACTTTCTGCTGCAGGGCTAGCAGCTGGTAGGATATTGGGGCAAAGCCATGGGGACTACTTGCTGAAGAGTAATATCAACAAAAATTTATTAGCTGAGGAATGAAACAGAGGAGGGAAGACAAAAAAAAAAGAGACCTACATCTCATCTCAAGTTACCTCTTGACTTTCTGGTAAAGTAAGCCAAAAGGAAAAAGAAAAGAAAAAAGGAAGCCCCTATTTTATTAAATCCCATGTAGAAAAGGTTTCCGTCCCCTGCTTCTAAGTGGCCTAACCCAGTATGTACCCTGATTATACCAGTGCCGCATGCACTGGTGATATGACATGGCCTGAGGTGACATGGGACAAGGCGCCCTAACCCTGATTAATGGCATTAAACTGTGTGTTTCTATTGCCCTTCATAACCTCCTTTCTTCTGGATTCTCCTTTTCGTCTTTCTCGATCATTCTGTACTAGCAGAACACCCATTCTGCCAGTGTTTCAGCTTTCTCTATTCTTGATGTCTGTAAAATTCTTTCCCACAAATCTTTGAACTTCGCTTTATTTCCTTTCATCTTAACTTGCATTGGTATCCTTTCTCAACACCTGCACGTGCTCTAAAACTCAACCACTAAGATACGGAGAGAACAACTCATTTAACCAGGTCATCCCAAACCCTCTCCTGCCAATACTGCCAGAAGCAATATTAAGTAAGAGAGGCAGGTGATGTGGAACCAGAGGAAGAGGGTTTAGACATACCTGACCTTTTCAGAAAGTGTTTTTTTCCTCCTGCTACCAAACAGTCTGAACCTGCTGAGACTTTGGTTGCAACAGGAGTACACAGACATCAAAACTAACCGCTCTGGGATGTGGCACAGCCCGAGGCGACACGGTGCAATACAAAGGGCCCTGATCCATAGGTTTCATGTTGATAGGCTAAGCATCTCTCTTTTCTCTCCTCATATTATTTCTTTCAGATTCTTCTACTCTCTCTCTTTTCACCCAGCCATCATTTACATTTTGTCAGTGCTTCCAAATTTTCTTTTCCTCATTTTCCTCATTTCCTCTGTTAATGTTCTGTTCCTTAAACCTATTAGATTCATTGCATTTCCTCTCATTTCACCAGCATCTTTCTCAACATTTGGATGCGCTCTAATACCCTCCTCTGTAAGCACAGAGAGAACAGCTGGTATTTAGCCTGACTGCCCTGCACAGGTTCTGGCCTCTAATCCAGATATTGCCATGAGTGTGTAGGAAAAAGAGGTGAAGCCTGAAAAAATGAATCAGGTGGTTTATAATCTGGCTATTATATTCTAGGTTAAACCATTATTTCCTCTACTAGAAAAAAAAAATTAGTGTGTTTTAAATGTTATAATTTGTTTTCAAGTGTTTTCCTCTTCTTTTTCTTTCTCTTCTTCCCTTTTTTTTTTTTTTTTAAAGATACAATGTTGAGTTAGAAGTTAGTAACTACAGGTCCATCCAAAAGCAGCGCATTTCTGTTATGGGTCCAGATGCAACATGTCATAAGCAAATAGGCCTTGAGTATTCTGTGACTACACGTAAGAGGCTGTGATTTACTCAAGCTGTGATTCCAGGCAAAATGCTGGAAGCGCTTAGAAAGCAGCCGCCAGGGAAGGAGATGACTGAAAACATTACTAACTTTATATACTGACTCGTAGCATTTCTGTGCAGGGAATACCCTCTCATTTCAGGTGGATGATAAATATTAGAAAAGACTTAAGGGAGACAGAGTGAACACACTCTGAGAGCCTACTGAGAACTCAGAGAAAGGCACTAATACCTTTCTAAGTAAACTGGAAGTTGGGCGATTTTCAGTTTTAATTCAGAAGACTCAGAAATTTCTCCTATCTGGCCCAAACTCTAAAAATAATGGAAAAGACAGTAAAATACACAATGTGACCTCCTGCAAAAACAAAAAGGTAGTTTGGTGGACCATGAATTATGAAAAACCGCTAAAAATCACAAAACAAAATGACAGGGCTGAGGAGTAACATGAACATCTGAGTTGCATGGGGTGGGGCTGGGGGATGTGTAGAACGTGCAGCCACAGGAGACGGGAGCAGCGCTGGTGGGGCTGGAGGGTGTGGAGCCCCCAGGAGGGGCCTTAGAAGCCAACAACCAGATGACCAGTTGCCACGGAATCAGCAAGGAGGGGTGAGCCTCGTTCTTTCCCCCAAGTATTACTACAGGATTGAACAAACACAATCCTGCCTTGTGTGGCTCAGTGGATTGAGCCCCAGCCTGCGAATCAGAGGGTCGCGGGTTCGATTCCCAGTCAGGACACGTGCCTGGATAGCGGGCCAGGTCCCCTGTAGGGGCGCATGAGAGGCAACCACACATTGATGTTTCTCTCTCTCTCTTTCTCCCTCCCTTTCTCTAAAAATAAATAAATGAAATCTTTTAAAAAAAAGAAGAAAGAAAGGGATTTAACAAACACAGCAAAGACCAGTATGTAATACTAGCAGCTGTTCTTCCTTTAGGTATAAAGTATAATTGGGGATATTGGGACAAAAAAAAATAAGGCACAATATTATCCATGTATAATGTCACCAGAAAGGAAGAACCATCCACATAGGGAAGATCAGCCATCAAAGGATTTCCTGTTATATTCATCTTCCTTCATCTCCACTGGAAAGATTAAGGAGTCCAAGCCCCACTCCAGCCAGACATCTCACAAGTCACATTAGATTCAAGAAACAAGGAAAAGGTAGAGACAATGCTGTACATGCTGGAATATAATGAAAATGCAGGATGCAAATATGAGATTGGGAATTAAGGGACATAGCGTGCAAAAGACAGATTTAAAAAAAAGAAAAAGACAACCAGCTCAAGAAGAAAACTAAACTGAGCAATGGAAAGAAATTCTTCACAGGTACTTGGAGTAAAAGAACATTCACAATGGATCAATAACAAAGAGCCGAACAATGAAGTGATATAATAATAGTTTTATTATTTTATCTTAGAACTTAGGAAACTAAGAACAAAAACAAAGCTAATATGTAATTAATTATAAATGGAGACAGACAACATAGATACAGCATAATATCAAATTACATATGTAGAAGAAAAATTTGATACACATAGTAAAAGTTAATGAAAAGATAAAGCCATTAAACAATCAGACAGAGGCCTATAGGAAAACAATTCGTGCTTCCAAAGAAGAAAACTCAAAAAATGCAATAGAAAATGTACATAAAAATAACGAAAACATTCCTGAACTGAAGCAAAAATTAAATCTAAAAAACAGCAAGATTCTGGAAAAGTGTGATTCAGTATTCAACACTGAAATATATTCTGGTCAAATTATTGAAATTCAAAATTGAAGAAAACTAGTTGTGTATTTGGCAGAAAAGCAAACACTTCATAAGGGAGAAAAGGAGAGTGCTCCACAGTAATATGTCTACTAGGTTAAGAGGGAAGTCTAATCTCCAAATGCTATTCTCACCTAGCATTTAATTTAATCACAAAGGCATCATAAATATAATCTCAAACATGGAAGAACTTGAGGAATGCGTAAACGATGAGCGACCCTGATAAAGTGTTACCTCCTAACTGGACAGTCAATATGTAAACCAAAGTGAAAAAAAGATGAGAGAGAGAGGCCACAAAAAGGATTCATGGTCAACACTGGCTCCTTTTATTATAGAAGAAAGAGTAGAAAGCTTATGAGAATAACAAAGTAAATTTTTTTAAAAGTTAAAAAAAGAGCGACTCAAATGAAACCCATTAGACCTACTGGCCTCTACCATAAGAACAGAGAGGTACGGAATAGAGCATGCTCAGTGTACCCAGAGAGGGTGCGTGGAACTGGTGAGGACTCCGGACAGAGGCTACTATGGGGAGAACACTGTCTATACCACCCAGATCCCTTTAGATGTCTTTTACCAGTTGGCTATGGAATATAATGAAAATACAGAATGCAAATATGAGATCTGCCATGTTCCTGGCCTGGATTCTATGTTCTTATGCTTAAGGACCTGTACCCTCGACTCTCTTTGGAGGACCCCTTGAGGGCTCCTAGAGCTGCTTTGCCTTCCTCTGCAGAGAGCTGGGCAAGCCAGGGAACTCATTTCCTGCCAGGGCGGCTTTGAGTCAATGACTGCCTTTTGGGAGGTTTTGGAAGTCCAGCTGCTACGCCTGGAGTCTGGAGGCACTTTGAGTTAGAGTTCACAACCAGGCTGAAACTGGGTACCTTCCAGGGACACTGCCTTCATAAATCACTTGCACATGGATCTGCATCTGTGTCTCAGTGTCAGATTCTGAGGAGCCTCACTTACGACCTATTGGTGGTCTTCTGGAGGGCTGTGCAAAATGAAGGTAAGAAGCACAGGCAATTTCCAGAAGGCCTGGAATATCAGATGAAAAAGACTTGCCTTTTTCTGTGGGTCAAGTGTATCCTTGGTGTTTTGTCGAATGGTCAATATTCATTTGTTGAACCAACTGCTGTTAATTTGTCCTTAGCAATGTGGAACTTCAATTAAAACTACCTCTTTGAACGAAGCCTTGGGAAATAGGTCGAATTCATTGATCAGCTCCCAGTCCTCTAGGATCTCTACATCTTTCATGGACAACAGTGGCTTCCATTTTCTTTCCCCCTAAGGAAACCTGTAATCCTTCCCCAAATGAAAGTGTTGGCAAGAGCCTAAAATAAAGGAATTAAAAACATATTGATCCAGAGCTAGTCAGCTCCTGAGATGGTGCTCTCATGCCTCAAGGCTACAGGCAGCACAAGAACAGTCATGGACTGGAATGGAATCTTCTATACCTATTGCCCAATTTCTGGCATTGCGGAGTAGAAGGATTTTGAGGAGTGGTTGTGAGTGGCTTTCTCTGTGAGTGCTTTTTCTCTTTTTAATCATTTTCCTTTTCTCTTCTCTGTCCTAGCGAAAGCCATGGCATTCCACTGGATTGACACTACAACCTAGCCCCTCTCCAGGGACAGGTGGCCAGCTGTTTGACTTTCTGGATGCAAAGGAAGCTGGTAGGTGAGCCCTGCTCTAAGGCAATTGTTCTGCGGGCCTTAGCGTGGAGAAGGCCTGATGTGAGCCCCGCCGGGAGCAAAGTCCCGCAGAGGTTGGGCCGGCCCACGCGCAGGCCCAGGAGCCAGCCTAGGGAAACAGCAGCTCAGCTGACGGTGGCCAAGGCCAGGCAAAACAAGACCCTAGGACAAGAGGCAGCTGGCAGCTGAAAACTTCCTCTTGAGGGGAGAGTGGAGTCCCTGTTTTGTGCTTGAGGATCTAAAATGAGGGCTCTGGGGAAGGGAGTGAAATGCTGCTGTCACCCCCAGGGGACAAGCACCACAAGTACACTCTGGCCTGAGGTGAAATTGTCAACCCCTCCTTCTGGGATTTCTGGCATTCCTGAATAGATTTTTAAATAACTGATGTGAAATTCACATAACATAACGCTAACCATGTTTAAGTGAACAATTCAGTGCTATGTAGTACATTCACGATCCTGTGCATCACGGCTTCTATCTAGTTCCAAAACATCTCACTAGCATGAATTATAACCTCATACCCATAAAGCAGTTACTCCCTGTTCCCGTCAGCCCCTGGCCACCACCACTCTACTTCTCTCTGCAGGTTTATCTATTGTGGACATTTAATATAAACATAACCATAGGACATGGGCCTTTTGTGGCTGGCTCTCTTTCATTTACCATGATGTGTTCAAGGTTCATTTGTTATGTAACACGTATCAGTATTTCATTTCTTTTATGAATGAGTAACACTCCATGGCACGAACACCATTTCTGTTTCTCTCTGCCTTCCTTGATGGCATCTAGGTTGTTTCACCTCCGTCTGTTGGGAATAGTGCTGCTGTGAACATTTGTGTTAAATATACTTCACTCTATGTTTCCAATTATTTTTCATTTATACCTAGGAAGAGAAGTGCTGAGTTGAATAGAAGAACTTTCAGGAGTGTTTCTGAGTGGCTTTGCTTTCTGTGTGCTGTTATTTTCTTCTCCTCTCCCCTTCCCTCCTGTCCCCTTTCCTTCCCATCTCTTTCCTTTATTTTTGGCTTTGTGGCCCACAGTAAGCTCAGTCACAGGGACAAGTGGTCAGCCCGGCCATCTTCTGGATGGGAAAGAGGTTGTCAGGCAGGCCTCACCCATAGACCCTGTCAACAGTGCTTCGTGCCCTGAAGGCCTGTGGAGCCGGCCCAGAAAGCCCCTAGCATGGAAATCTGCTGTTACAGCTGCAGAGGACTTCCGAGTGGTTTTTGTTTCTGGAAACTTAATTTTTCCCCCCTTCAAGAGAAGCAGAAACTGAGACAAGCGCAGATGTGCAGGTGATTTGTGAGCATATTTAAGGTTGGCTCTGAACTTTTAAAACCCATGAAGGGCTAACAAAGTACGTCTCCGGGCAAGATGAACTAGGTAGTTGACAGGAAGTTGTTAATTTCTTTTAAGCGAGAGAGGATGCAGTCAGCTGTTTTGTGAGCATAAAACTAAATTCAGAGGCCTGGGGAAAGGAAAGAGCGGTTTCTCAAAAAAGAGCCCACCAGGGGGCTGTTGCGGGCACCTGTTGGCCCTTGGGAGCAAGGCCAAGAATATAGCGTCCCTGGGCCCTTGCTGCTGGGTGTCTTCCCCTGGGGAATTGCGCACAGCTCTGCTCAGGGACTGGCGTCCTTGGCCTGACTGACAGTAAAGCCGTTGATTCTGGTCACTGATGGCACCTACAGGCGCTTCCCGCAGGAATTCCCTCAGATGGTGCAGACCACGGGCCCCAGCCTCCGTTTGGGGTTATTGAAGAAGCTGCGAGCAGCTGATACAGGGGGCGCAGGGATGGTGATGAACCTGTTGCCGCCAGGACGAACCGGGCCCTTGAGACATGCTCACTGGGGGACAGAGGAAGTGGACATTGCTGTTTCAATTGTCCCACAAGGAAACCCAGGTCCCTGAAACACACATTATGCACATAGCTGTTTTGTAGACACCTCTGTAATCCTCACTCCAACCCTTTTAAGGAGGCTCTCTAATTAGCTCCATTTCACTGACAGAGAGACTGACCATTAGAGAAGCCGAGTGGCCTGCCTAGGTCCTCATAGCTCGGGTGTGGTGTGGCTGACACTCAGACCCAGGCAGTTTGAATCGAGGGTCCATTGTGTTCACATTACACTGTACAGCCTTTACAGCTAAGGATTCAAAGCAGGTGGCAGACAAACTTTCTGAACCGCCTTTGGACTTGCAACTCACACACAGTGAAGTATCTAGCCTCCTGGACTCACATCTGAGGTAGGAATAAGCCCAATTTCAAAGCCTAAAAGAGTCACTTACCAAGTTCAGCTGGGACTCACACCAGGAACTAGACTGACTTCACTCCTCCCCATCAAGACCAACACAGGAAGTGTCCTCTCTGGCTTTCCAAACCGCACTTCCCAGAAGTCTACTTAAAATCGCCCAGGGATCTCTGGGAAATGTAGTTGTGGGGCCCAAGGTTGTCCTTGTGCTTCTCCTACTCAAATCTATTCCATGGTGCAAAGTGGAGAACTCTGTTATCTGAAGAGCCCACGTCACAGGCTGTGAGTGGTATGGCACAGTATTTGACACAGTCCTTGCCTTAGGGGGCCTGAAGCCAGATGTCCTATGCATAACATGGAGGTGGGACTTCTGAGGGGGTCCAGGAAAAGCACATCCCCTAAGCAAGGGGAGGCAGAAGATGGATGTTTAAAATAACTCACTCCAGATTGTAACATTCCTCCTTCATCTGTTTCTGCGAGGCCCCTCGGTCTCGTCTTTCCCTTTTATGCCCCACGTCAGACCACTCACCACCCACCCTCCCCAGAGCCCCTGTGTAATGTTGGTGCCATGACTCCCCATATATGGGATGAATGTGACATGTTCTAGAGAAATGTGTGCTGTTTCTGCTTGTGTTTTTAATTCACGTTAACGATGTTGCTTTGTAACTCTTGCTGTTTCTTATGCATTTCCCTCTACACCACATGTTTAAAATCTATCTCCATTACACAGCCGTACTCTCCCTTTGACACCGACTGTTCTGGTTCGCACCTCTGGGGCCCTGCTGCAGGAATATGGGGGTGCTTTCTCTTGGCCTGTTTTAGGGCAGGCTAGGCCCTGTGACGCCGAACCAGCCCAGTGTGATGGGAGGTGAAAGATCAGGGGGGACTCCCTTGTGCCACGGACGACACTGCCTGCCGGTGTCCTCCAGTGGGATTTGGCCCCCAGACCCACTGAGGTCACCTGCCCCTAGGAGCCCTTTATTGACTCTCGAGCCTTCCCCGCCTCTGCCTTTCCCACTCCCGTGCTGGGCTTTCTTAATCACGTCCCAAATAAGCTGCTTACACAATGGCAAATCCTCATCTCAGGCTTCGAGAGGAAACCAACCTGGGACCATTCCACTTACCAGAACCACTGGTGAAGGACACTTAAGTGCCCTGAGCTGCCGGTTACTACACACATCGATGTGATGAACACTTTCCTGCAGGTGCCCTGTGCATGGACATGAGAACTTCACGTGCACGCACACCAGAAGCGGGACATGCTGGGGGACAGGGCTCGGGGGTGCTCAATTTCACTGAGCCTCACTGTCCTCTTGTGTGGAAAGATTCCCGTTTTCCTCGTATCCTGATTGACACTCTGTTAGCATCCTTCAGATGTACCCCCACCTCGTGTGTCTAAGGCGATGGCTCAGTGCTGTTTTAATTTTCACTTCTTGAATCACCAGTAACTTTGAGCAGCTGCTCACATTCCCATTGACCCTTTCAGTTTCTTGTTTGTGAAGGAAACGACAAGGCGCTGAGGAGGCACTCCGCTGCCACAGTCACCCGGACACAGCCGGGATCAAGCTTGGATGGCAGAGCAGATCTTGCTAGAAAAACATTGCCGGGGAGATAATCCCAGGATGCAGCTTTGGGGCTGGACCATTTTGGAGCAAACTATGGGAATGGAATTGTTCAATGGAATATGGGCATTGTCCTCTTGATTCATGGCAATGTCATGCTTGGCAATAAAATCTATGACAAATTCATGATTTTGAGAATACTACTATTGTTTTCGCTCAAGGAAGAGAGGCCCGCAAGAATCTCCAGGAAAAAAACTGTCACAGGAATCTGAGATCATGTGTCTTAAGGTTAAGGGAGAGTCAGACCTGAGTCATGGATCCTGGCGTCTGGGGGCTATAGAAGCTGAGATCATACGGCTGGGATTTCAGTGGGCTTGAGGACTACAGTCTGCAGCAGAATGTCCCTTTGACGTTCCGGCTAAAAGCTGACTGCTTCCTGTGGGAGGAGAGCAGAACTGGGGACTCTGGAACTGCCACAGAGCACCCTCCTCACCACAGGAGGGACAGAGAGAGAGAAGTGGGAGGAGGAATAGTGATGATATGGAGGTCATCTCTCTCAGTTCCAATATGTGGAAGTTGTAAAATTCATAAGCATAGATGCTTTTTAAAAAAATAATCAAATTAGTTAATAAAGTATAACACTTCTAATGTTATACTTTAGTTCTATCAGTTTAGTTTAATTCTAATGTGTGCTCTTTTTATTTTAAATATTAAAACATGCAAGATCATTTTTATTTTCTTGCCAAAAAATCTTTTAGGAGACTTTTATTTTTACATAGAAAGATTGAAGTAAAATCTCTCCTTTTGATTTGGGAATCCATGGAAGACGCTGGCCCCTAATTCAAGATATTTTTGTTGTTGATGTTTAGTACATTGCTTTTAACATCGGTTACCAAGACTTCTGGTTTCTGTTCTAACAGGCAAAATGTTTGGAGTCAACTCTCCCTGTTTCGCAGAAAATCAACAACTCATGGAAATAAAACATATCCGTCAGAGTGTCAAGGTCCTGAAGCAAACTGTTAAAGCGGAAAGACTGGTGCATATATAGAACCACAAATTACTGGCAACTAACTGATGCGCAGGATTACCGGCTGAAGCTTGTAATTCACTTAAAAATGTCATTTGATTAATCCCTGGAACACTTAAAAATGTCATTTGATTAATCCCTGGAGACTCAGTGTAGACTAGTGTGAAAGTTAGAAATCTAGGGGCTCAGTCTCAGGGAGGCCTCCTCCCTTTTTTGAGCATCACCTCCAGAAACCCACCAGGTGTTCCCTGTGAAGATCACAGAGAAATCTCCTTGTGCTTTTGACAGAAAGAGGACATGTAATCATTGTGAAGTAAGTCCTGAGCATCCTGTTCTCCTTTTTCCCTCAAGGAAAATTATAAGAGCCTAGTTAAAATGAGGAAAGGAGCATACCCTGATCCAACATTCTGTAGCTTCCCTTTCTTACTTAAGGGAGAAAAAGTTGAGAAGTGCTTCTGAAGGTGACACTTTGGTACACAGCCCAGCCTTACTTAAAGTTTGAGACTAATCCTGTAGGACTGTAGAACACTTCTCTTGTCGTCATGCCTTATAACCACAACAATAAGTCTACTGTATGTAACAGAGAATTTCAGCTGAAGAACTACAAGTTTCCATTTCTATTTAATGGGGAATTTCTAGGCAATCCTAGAAATAAAAGGGGAGACAAAAACAAGAACTCTAAAAGAAATTGAAACCTTGGACATCCAAAACTACAGAAAACAGTAAATGCAGCAGACTCCTAGCCAGACAAACATAAGCCCTCACACTAAAGGCCTCCATACCTCAGTTCATATTACCCACCTCAATGATCATGTCTAGCTTCCACCATGATAATTGTAAGGGATGGTAACATATGAAGAAACACGGTCTGAAGATACAAACCAAGCATCAGGGTAAGATTCATATATGGCAGAGATTTTGGAGTTTCCTGACTGGGAATTTAAAAGATCTGTCATTTATTAATATGCTAAGATCTCTGATGAAAATGTAGATTACGTATTAAAATAGATGGGTATTGTAAGCATTGTAAGCATAGAGCTTAAAACTCTAAGAAATAATCAAAAGGAAATGTTAGCAATAAGTACCGTAACAAGAATAAAGAATGTTTTGACATCTCCTCATTAGCTTGAACGTGGCTAAAGAATGATGCACTGTGCTTGAAGATATGTCAACAAGAAACTGAAATGCAAAGAGAAAATAAAACAAAAGAGAAAATATGCATGAACTTTGGGACAATTATAAAAGGTATAAAATACATGTCATGGGATACCATAAGGAAAAGAGAGGAAAAAATCATAAAAAATTTAAATTAATAACGGCTGAATATTTATTTTCCAAAATTAATGACAGACACTAAACTACAGATCTGGGTATCTCAGAGAACACCAGAACACTGGATAAATATCCAAAAAGAGACACCTAGGAATATCATATTAAAATTGCAGACAAGCAAAATCAAAGAGAAAATGTAGAAAGAATCTAGAGGAAAAAAGACATCTTTCATAAAGAGGAACAACAAGTAATATATTAAGTTTCTTTTCAGAAACCATGCAAGCAAGGAGTGAAATATTGAAATGTTGAAGGAATGAACCAATCTAGAATTCTGTATCCAACAAAATTATCCTTCAAAGGTGGAGGAAAATAAAGATGTTTCCAGACAAACCAAAACCTAATATATTTGTCACCAGTAGACATGTTTTTCAAGAAATATTAAAAGAAGTTCTTCAAAGAAAAGGACGACATGGGTCAGAAACTCGAATGTACATAAAGAAAGGAAAAAATAAAGTTAAAAAGGCTTTTACTTAAAAAAATAAAAGAAGGTGTAAAAGGCTTTCACTTTTCTTATTTTTTAATTTATCTACTAGATAATAGTTTGTTCAAAATAATAATAGCAACAATGTATTGTGTGATTATGGCTTATGGGTAATGAATGAAAAACATGCCGATGGATGTGAGGGAAGAATTGGAATACTACATTATGAAGCACCTGCATTACATAGGAAGCACTACGGGACTATTGAAAGTGGACGCAGATTAGTTGTGAATGTATGCTGCAAACCTTTGATCAAGTATACTTATTTTTATAATAAGGATAATTGATATGCTAAGAGAGGAGAGACGTGGAATCCTATAAGATGTTCTATTAAACTAAGAAGGCAGAAAAGACAGGAAGATAATAATTAAAAAAACAAATGCAACAAACAAAACAGTTAAAAATATAGCAGATATTAACTCAACAATATGAATAATCACTTAAATGTGAATGGTATAACTATGCTAATTAAAAGACATGCAATCTTCCAAGACTGAATAAGAAAGAAACAAAAAATCTGAACACACCAATTACTAGAAAGGAAATTGTATCAGTAATCAAAAAACTGCCAACAAACAAAAGTTCTGGACCAAGATGGCTTCACAAGTGAAATGTGAAAATGTCCATATTACTCAAAGCAACCTACAGGTTCAGTGCAATCCCTATCAAAATACTAATGGCATTTTCTTTTTTAAATAAATTTTATTGATT